AACGTGACAGACCAAGCATCTCAGGCCCCGGGCTCGCGTTACTTTTACTCTCGATTTTTCGGAAGTTCCTCCTCCTTCCCGGCCCGGTCACTCCCCTTTCCTCGTATGCGCCCTCGCGGAGGCGACGGTGCGCATGCTCGGAGGCGCGTTCCGATGCCGAGTCCCTCGCTGGAAAAGCCCGTCGCGTTCTCCTTCTCTGTCGGGTGCGCGTCTCTCGATCGCCGGTCGATGAGGGAACGGAGAGCCGTCGCGTCGACCGGGAAACATGGCAGTCGCGCCTTGACGCTCGACGTCGTTTGGTACGGACACCGCGACCTCCTGCCTCGCGAGGGAGAGGAGAGCGCGAGACGCGAGTGCGCCCTGAGACTTCATCGACTACCCGGACCTCGTCATCTCTTGCCCTCGTCACTGTTCCCCGTCATTGGTTGGCTAATCGGTTAAGGGCGCGTGTCGGCCAATATGAGGATTAGGTACGTGTGCTTCACAGGTACTCTTCACCATCGCCGGGTCTATTAGCGATTAGCCGGGTGCCGATCGACGGCCAAATTGACCGTTCGACATGGTCAATTTTTACATTCCAATAACTCAAATCTGTCGGTTAATTGATATACCAGCGAGTAGCCGTTCGCCACTGATTATCATCGATTTGAAGTTAACGAGGCCGTGATCATTGCCCTTACCGTGATAATAATAAGCCCCTATTTCCTAATCTTACAATTACATCCATTTTTCTTCTCCCGCCACCATTGTCATCGATCTTATATCTCTATTGAAGCAGACGTTTATTCGTAGACTTAATTATTCCACGTTTAGTTAAAAACATTATGCAGCGTCGACGATTTAATGTCAATGAGGCCCGTATGCTTAGTACAAGGTCTCGAATTTTTAAAATTATATATTAAATTTGAAAAATGTCGCGACGATTTATGCTTTCTTTAAATATCAAATATTCATTTTTAGATGAAATGGAGTAGAAATATTGAATACCGATACACATTCCTTAAGATTACGAGTAAAAATTTCTTATAAAATACGATGTACATGGATTAAATTAAACAATATAAAGTTCCTAGAATACGTTTTAATTATTGCATTAAGATGAAATCTGTTTTACAATTTTTCTTTAATTTGTTCTTCTACGTATATAACGAATATATTATATATTTCGTTTTTGTTAATTTTTTTTTTTGGAATAATAATAGTTGCATTTATTTAGAATAAGATAATAAAATCTCTTTGGTGTTTAGATCGTAATAAGAAAAAAGAAAAAAAAGATACAGATATAGAATAATAATGAAGGATATGAATATTAAATATAAGTAAATTTTATCTTATCTTTTCTTTGTCTAATTGGCATTTCATTAATTTTCTATTTAATCTCATGCAATAATTGTATCAATTTAAAAACATAATAAAATATTAACAGCGTGATTCATTATACTTGCACTGGCAATTATTAATTAATCGCAATATAAACGTTTATAAGAATATAAACGTTAATAATATAAAAATTGATTTTTCTTTTTTTATAATTCAGTATTTTTATAATAATATAATTATGTTTAAGAAAGAATATGAATAAGAATAGGAATAACATGATAAAGATAGGGGATCTCTTCTACACAAGTACAAAGACTTTCTAAGATAATGTAATATTGTGTATGCAATACTTTTCAAAGAATCTGTAATAATATGCGATCACCATTTACAAGCTTCTTGTACTTGCATTATTATTATTAAATTCACATTATACATAAAAAATTTGCAATTATTCTGTATGGATCGTAATTTTTAAAACCATTATCTTTTAATTGTACTATTCGAATAATTTTCCTTTTTAACTTAATAATTTTTATTTTAGCTGACCCATTTTTATCTTTTATATTATACATAAAAAATTATTTGATAATTTTCAATGTGATTTACCTTAAGAACACGTAATAAGGGTAAAACGAGCAGGCCAACTTTCTTACTTTTATGCACTTATTATTAAAAAAAAAAAAAAAAAAATGTGCCGCACTTTCATTGTGTCTCGTTGAGCATTTAATGATTCTGTCCCTTTTATAAGAATTTTGCTCACGACGTTTTTAGAAATAATATTCGTATTAATCTCGTGTAAAAAAGAGTTATACATATTTTTTTAAATATATATGTTTTCATAAGAAATTTCTATCCCTTAAATTAAGTAGACCTAATTTCTACTTAACGATATTTGTATTATTGCGATATTTTTATTAATAAATTGTCTCATTCATATTTGTCAATTTTGAGATTTAATAAATAAAAATAGTTTTTAGTATTCACATAATTGCTGTTATGGTATGATATAAAAATAATAATAGTATATTCGTATCCGATGGACACGTTTTATCAACTCGGGAATATTTTGCATTTTAAAAGGATTAAATGTGTAATGAAAATTTTTTTTTATCGATATTCATAAGCAATGTGAGATATTCTTCTTAAGTTATTTATAATTTCGTGAAATTGGCATTAAAATTAATAAATCATCCGCAAATTTTGATATATTAATGCGTAAGTACTTTCTAGTTTACTGGCTCTCATTTTGCCTTGGTGGAAAATAAAATAATATCTATTAGTATAAAAATTCTTTACTTTAATTAAATACGATGTTAGAAAAATAAAATATTTGTTTTTAGCATTGCCATTGAAGAGCTAGATGAGCGTATTTTACACTTAAGATTTTTATCATCTATGTTTAATTCGAAATTTGATTTTGAATAGTTTTGAAATAATTTATGTCGTTGCTAAAGAATTTTTGTTTAGAATTTTGTTCACTCAATGCCATTAATATTCTTCATTATTACGTTCATTAGAAAGACAGTTTTATTTATTTAAGATATTGAAAATAATTAATTTGTTTTATAGTTAACATATGTATATTGATATTTATCCTTTATCCTTCTTCATTATTTCTTAATTGTTAATTCTATGCTTTTTTGTATCTGTCTGTATTTTATATGCGTGCACATGTAATAAAATTGATAATAGTTTTTGTTTAACATTAAAGAGCTAATTAATAGTTTATCCTTGTATTGGTTAAAATTTTGAATATTATTAATTGACAAGACAATAAATTCAATGCTGTTAAGAAATAAGAATGCTCAATTGTAACTGTAATTTGGCAATTTGAGCGATACTCTTAATGTGCCTTGAGTTAAAGCTTTTTTACGCCCATTATATTCGATTTTAATTTAAGCTTTTATTTTTTCATAGTAATAATTCGATATGAAGTTTTTGAAATATTACAGCAGGTATTTATGATTTACATGTTTTTTGTATGCTCGGAAAGTATATTCAGACATTACGCAAGGCTTTCACGAATACCTTTATTTTCTTTATAATACCGTACGAATGTAGCGTACTCAGATTTAAAGCCATGTCTTTGTTAAAAAAAATTTTTTTTTATTTATATAGAGCTCTTAAATTTATAATTAATAAATGTAGATGTTGATGTAGATGACGATATCCATAGGCATACGCAATGCTGCTTTTCTACGATTACACGTATTTATGAATACACGCACACCAATGCGTATGTATGTACGTATTGTACTCGTGGTGTCTCAATTTCATACGAACCAGAGCTCGTTAACCTATAATACGTCGAACTTTGGCAAGATTATCGAGACAAGCGATTCCAATTCGCAATTTTGCAGAAACGCGAGAAATTAATTTATAAGGCAGAATAAGCCAAGTGGCAACAAGCTTCATTATAATTGGACATGGTGGGGAAAACGGGTTGGCAATTTTGGTGACGAGAAAGCATTGTGAAGGAATTGGCTGGAACCGAAATTATACGATTTGTCAAGCGAGTGCCTTAGTAATGTAAGATATAAACTTTGTCAATTTTCTATCGGGCGAGTTTAGAAATTACGAGCGAGCAGTTTAAAATTTACAGGAGTCGGCTAAATAAGGACTCAGTCGCATCGATCACTCCTTTATATCTCACTCTATCCATCATTATTTTTCTAATTATCTCTATTATCGTCATTTACCTTTACCCGCCCCCCCCCCTTAAAAAAAAAAATTATTTTATTCTTTTTTCTCTTATTACTATTTTTACGTTTGTTGCACGGAAAGTTCCCGTTTCCCTCTCGCTCCTCCCCTCAATCTCTCACCATCTCTCCTCCCATCGACAATTTAAACAAAAGTCAAGTATTGTTCGGCTCCCGTTGGAATGCACACTTTCAGCGTACTTAAGTTCGAAAGAGCCGAGTTAACTGGCTTTGTCGGGGATTGATTTCACAAGTCGCGGCTCCTCGGCATCGACGTCTCCCGGCGATACGGCAAATCACCTCGTAATTTTTTCGCCGACACTTTGATTCAGCCGGTGCCATCCGCGGGCGGCCGATATCCATGGCACGAGCCGCGAGAAAGTGAAAGGATCCGTAGGGCCGAGACTCCCCCCTAGAGAAAGCGCTCCCCGTTACGTGAGCGGACGCTCCCCCGGACGCGTGCCCTCGACCTACCTTCCACGATGTTTCCTCATCAGTTCGCTTCGATGTACAACCCCGCGTAAAGGAAGCGGGCTCCGGCAGGTGGGGGAGCGGGAAGACGAGGAGGAGGAGGAGGAGGAGGAGGAGGAGGAGACCTCGTGATTTTCCTCTCAACGTTCGCTTGGTCGCGCGCTCTCGCTGTCCTTAATCTCGAGGCTCTCTATCGGCGCGCCGATAAGCGCCCGATCGATCGTCTTCTAAGGGAGATACGTCGGCGCACGCGAGCCTCCGAGGACTCGCGGTTTTCGTTAATACGATTATTTGCCATCTCGATCGCTATCTCGATCGCTATCACGATCGCTATCACGATCGCGGCAGATCGAAACGAGCACTGACGCAATGAGCGACGATAGAATCCGGCCGCAAGGCTGCTGTCTCGCGGATGCTCGTCGGTACGCGAGAGCAGAAGAAAGCTCGCGCGATAATAAATTTTGGGATTTGTATTTAGTTGAAATTGTTTTGTAATCACGCCGGCCAGCGATTTTACGAAGGGTGGGTGGTGCCTTCCTCCTTCTGGGGCCCAGCTAGATTCGTCGATCCGAGTCGATCCGAGTCGCTGTTTATCGCGGGCCGCCCGATCGCATTTACGAGGTGGAAGGGAAAAGCTTGAGACGCACGCTCGCCGATGTTTAGAAACACGCGCCGATCTCGCTCGAGGTCGATGAGGCGAGGAAGAGGAGCCGAGGTCCATCGTCTGCGCATAAAAAGGCTCGCGAGAGCTCCAATAATGGAGATAATACGGAGGCGCGTGACTTTTTAGAAGGGCCGGCGATCGATTGCGCAACGGCCGATTGCGTTAGTAATCCGTGAATTTGGAGCGTTCGCGCAGAGCGAATAGGATCGTAGGAGCCGAGGGAAAAGGAGAGGATGGATAGATGAAAGGGAGGCGAGCGATCGAGTGCCCCGTTGTAATTTATGGCTGCATCGTCAATTTACATTTGAAATTCGCAGATTTGCCAATGCTGGAGCGGAGGCGCTTCTGCTACTCCTCGTGGTGGTGTGCGCAAACAGGGGGGAGGCCCTCCAGTACCAGCCGCTTGATGTTTACGGCAACGGCGCCGAGGAATGCGCTCTGATCATCGGCGGACCGGGACGCAGCAGCCTTTACGATTACACGTACAATCTCCTACGCGGTGGCCTCTTGTACGTATTTCGCATGTGCTTTGCACAACCTTGCGATATCGCGCTCTTTTTAGCCGCGTAGCCGACGTCGGGGCCTCTCCGTTTTTTTTTATTCTCCGCTTCGGAGCGGCCTTTTCCTTACGGGGAGGCCGGTCACGCGAGCTAATTGAGAAAAGGAGCTTGGCTTATCGGGCACATCGTTTGCTCCATTTACACGGTCAATTGTAAATCTAATTCTCGCATTGCATTTCAGCAAGTGTTAAGCCTATTTGGAAATTCGGTTGGAATTTAAGATTACGTTTGTTTAATCGGGCTGCGCTCTCGCCAATTAGGCTAATTAAGAGTCCCATTTTAGAAAACCATTCGTCTTTACGTTTACGGCTACATTTTATTATTGCCATTTTATCATTGCATCGAGGAAATGATATTTATATTTATAAGATATTTAAAGAATAACGAGGACTTTTGTTAATCGCGCTCGACGACACTGCCATAAGCATAAGCAACAATTGCCGAAAATGATCGAGATTATATAAAGTGCCGTTTGCTCGATTTATATTTACGAGCGGCCGTTTCTTCTCCTTTTACTTTACAGAGTTGTTCCAAATTTTTCAAAATTTAACATTTTATTATTAACAAATGAATGATCGTTAAGCCTCACAGCCATTCAAACAAACCAACAGCAAGAGTTTATTGGAGAAAATTCGTGTCGCCATTTACCTTTTCTCATTGAGCCATTAGATAACCATCTCTCAATAACAACAACAACAATAACAACAACAACAGCAATAACTTTCACAGCAATATCAAGTCTTAATGTCAATTCCTTTACAGCCCGTCGTCAATTGGGTCACAAATATGCATCACTTACGATGCCATAAATCGTGCTTACATCGAAGCCACCAAGCGCATTCGTAAGTTCTCATTCATCAAATTATTATTACGCTTTTCAATAATAATAATAATAATGCTCCTCACCATTCATCCTATCGTTTTGACTTGGAAGGTACGTCTGGTTAAGACACAACTTTCACCCCCGTCCCTTCTGTAATCCTCGTCGCTATCCACACCTACGCTGTTTGTATTTATATTACAGGCGTGTAGAGTTTTTTCCTTTTTTTTTTCTTTTTAACGATTTTTGCGTATACTTGTAATTTTAAATTACAGATGTTGCCAACCCGAAAAACGAAAAATGGAGGCCCGAGGACTTGGCTAGCGTCGGAGAGCTCCTTCTCGATATTTCCATAAATCTTGCGCACACGTAAGAAAACAAAATCAACAAAATAAACGAAAAAAAAAAAAAACAAAAAAAAACAAAAAACAAAAAAAAAAGTATATATATATATATATATATATTTATTACAATGAATATTTATGACCGAATCGTAAATTATTTCATTCGAATAAGTACGATGATAATATTGTACACGTTGCCAAACGATAGTCGATGATAAATAATGCCACGGGCGCTCGACAGTTATTGGATGGAAATTATTTTAGATACGGCCTGTCGCCGGAGCAAGTGGAGAAAAACTTACCTCTCATCGACACGTCCAAGACACTCATTCACGACGTGTGTCCAGCATTCCTGGGCAACATACAATGTAGGCCAGGCAAATACCGTCGTTACGACGGGCTGTGCACTAATTTGGAAAATCCAACTTGGGGCGCATCGTTATCACCGTTCGTCAGGTAAGCTTTGCGCAAATCCTTGGTCCATCGATGCGTCGTAAGCCGTATTGCGATTTCGCCGTACTTTGCTGTCAAATAAATAAAGTGATACACGAAGCTTTGAGAGAAATTTTAATTGGCTCGCTGCTTTCAACTATCACACAATGGCTTTGGCAATTCGTAGTAAAATAATTTTAAACGTTGTTTGCGTATTGATGGACGGTCATTGAATCGCCCTCTCGGCCTCTAAAGTCTCTTAATATTCTCTATAGTCGATGAAAAATATTTCCATGGGCTATTTTCAATAATTACGGGCTAAAGTAACGAGCGATTTATCATTGCGATCGTTCGATTACAAACGTTGCCATTTATTAGAATAAATATTATTTACTCGATTGTTGACAGGTTTGTTTGGCCATCTAATGCCGCCGTCAATATTATACGGTCATGGTCCAATTGCCGTATTATGAAATTACGATAATTGGAATACGGCATCGTTAATGCATCATTAGAGTTGGTAAATCACTTGGAGCAACCATCTACCTTAATTTCCTTTTTATAATCGGCTTAAGCGGAGACTTATTAATAGTTTAGAAACTTCAATTTCCATCAGAATCAACAGCGATCGATCCTCAAAGCTATCGATTCACTTATAATGGGCAAATATTATCGTGCCTAGCGTATTATAACGTAATAATAGTCCACGACATTTACTTTCAAATATGTTTTAATGGGAAAATCGAAAGAAAAGAGCAACGCTGCGAAATCGAGCACGGCCGAGCATTTTTACAGGCTCGAAAGAAGCACTTTATATGTACATTCTCCCTTCAAAAGTTGAGAAGCTGGCGCGATAATTCAGGCAAGACGCGGTCGTCAATGCATACAAATTTCCAATGAAAAACATGCAGCTCGCTCGAAAGAAAGGGATAATGTCTCCTTTAGTCTCTCCTCTCGCTCGTAATGCCTTCGCTTGGATTTCGGGAGGACACAAGTGCATTAGAGGCAGAGGTCCAGAGATCCTGGACGCCACCATGTATCAATAATGCACATTCACTATCCGGCCGTCCTTTTTCCCTCGACGTTCAATCACCTCTCTCTCTCTCTCTCTCTCTCTCTCTGTATCTCAAACATACACACATACACGCGCGCGCGCGCACGCAAAAACACACACATACACGCGCGCGCGCGCGCGCGCGCACACACACACACACATACACGCACGCACACACACACACAAAACCCTCTCTCGATCGATCGCTCGCTCGCTCGCTCGCTCGCTCGCATGCGACTAGGCCTTCGCCGGCCTTTTGGATCTCATGGTTAACCAGTCGCGCCCACGGTAATTTGATAATTCTCTTGCATTCATCTGTGGCCGCGTTTTTCTTCTCGATGCGATTTATTCGGCCAGTTGCGGGGCGTTTTCGTGCCCTGCGATCGACTTCCGGATAGTGGCTGACCTTCGGAGCCATGAAATTCTACCGTCGCAAATCAAGGTCGCGTTGAGTTCGACTCCGCCGTCTCTTTCTCCGCTGATAATGCACAATTTTAGAAAGTTCGTGGCTACATTCCACCGGTGATTTTTCTCCGTTTTTTTTTTCTTCATCTTTTTTTTTTCATTCACTCCCGTGAATAATAATTATGGCCCTCGTCCGCGCTATAATAGGAGACTTTGAAGTAGCGCTAGCGGTTTTACGGCTTCACGATTTATCGGAGTGATATTTTACGCGATACTTTAATACATTTTTTTTCATGATACTTAATTGCCAATTGATCTATTTACACCCTCAAAATTGACGCTTTTTTGCACTCTCCGTCTTCTTTGCTCTCTATTCTTTCTTGGCCTCTGAATTTGGTATTTCTCGCCGATCATGGTGAAACACTTTATGAATGTTAAAAATGGAAATTGAAGATACCGAGAGCCCTGTATGCATTAGTTATCGTGTTGACTGGCCGATGAATTTTAATGCATGTAACAGTAGTAAATTATTTGCAAATAAAATTTGTTTTTTGCTTTGAAACATAAAGGTTGTGCACAGCTTCATATTACAAGTGGCTAGATAATGGGCTTGAAAAAGCTAGTGGTCTAATGTCTGAGGTATCAAGTTTATTCTCATATTATGTGATTAAATTCTATTTACATAATATACATTTATATATTTATATATTATATAAACGAGCCTTTTAATCCTACATTTGTTGAATAATATTTGCAGTTAATTAAGAGTTTTTTTTTTTTTTTTTGAGACAAAGGGCTGTCAACTAATACTATTCAACATTGACGTATATCACGTTCATTTGATACGTATTGCTTCCATTCGTTGATTTAGCCATTTGATAACGATGGGATTAATGAAAACATTAGTACGAACTTAAGAACTAAAATAAGAACTTCCGAATTTTTATTTTAAAGCAAATCCTATTAATTTTTTTACAACAAATTTCAGTTTATACGTATTTTCTCATCTCTCCCTTCAACTCTTTCACTTTCATATTCGAACTTTCGGGCACTTTTATCTTTCGTTTTACTGGCATACCTTAATTGTGTTAAGACACAAGATTTAATTGTACTTAGTACGTCAAGTTAAGTATAGAGTTGCTCTAACCAGTGATTATATCAGTTTTTACATTTCACAAGTTTTCACCTTAATTTTTATAAAATATATCTTTGTCTACTTTACCTCTCAAAATTATTATAATAAATTTTTTCTTACACATTTTATTCCGAAATTTTACGTGATTAAAAGTAAAGTTAGTTTAAAGTTTTTTTTTGCTTTATGTGTTGTTTGATTTTTTTTTTTTTTTTTTTTGATGTATCTGACGAGAAGCGAGTGTAATGCTGAATTCGTTAATTAAAAATACTCATATGATAAGAATAAAAAAAAATAAAAAAATTATAGCAATGAGTTACGACTACTTTAATCGTAGCGAGATCTTTAAAATTATTTATCACAATTATCATATTATTCGAATTATTTTTAATCAAATGTGTTATCATCTAATTTGTATTAGTTATATTTTTTATTTATAAGCTCATTTGCTCTTTCATTCCATTATTGTATCGGCTTCTCAATATCAGTCTATAACTATACTTAATATTAGTTTATTATTTATATTCGAATAATCTTTAAAATTTACGTTCAACGACATTGCAATTGCTTTTCTCGCGATTATTCTACGTAAACAGTCCCCATTACGCTAGACTATCCGTACTTAATTTTTTACACCTAAGTTTTCAGTTTAATTACAATTCGGTATGTAAACGAAAATTGAAAATTTAAAGTCAAGACGATCTTGTAGAGTCTCGTATAGATTAAAAAGTAATATAACAAGTTTTGCCTAACACCGTTTGAAGTGAAACACTATTTTTACGAATGTAACTCGTAAGAAAAAACAAAAAAAAATTCCATTCTATTACTTATATAAAAGACTTTTTTCAATCCTAAATTATGGCTATCTAGAACTAACGTCGTATCATGTAAGAAGAATTATCGAATAATTATTCAACTTTATTATACACATTGCAATTTCTCCTACGTTGCGATCCTTTCTCTTGCGTTTTTATGTAATAATAACCATTTACAAGCACGCGCTAAAATTGTTGACCCTCCTTAATAAAAAACGATCATCTCTTAATCGATATTTTTATATTTATAAGAAGTCTGTCCCTGAGATATAATAATTTATTTCACCACAAAAGAAAGTATACTTGTCCGAAGCTTTCCGTTTTTGGTTGTATTATTTCCAACGTTATTGTAGTCTTATTGTACATTGGAATTATATCCATTCGTACGTAATATGCTTTGCTCGTGAAAAAGAAATGAAATTGCAATGAAATAAGCAATTGACAAACATTACTATAATATTCGGAAAAGTATGTTACTAGTTATTCTCTTAAAAAAAAAAAAAAAAAAAAAAAAAAGAGAAAAATGCAAGCAGCATTCGGTAAAAATCTCGCTTTATTTTTATGAGAGGAGGCCTTCGGATTTGAGTGACCTCGTGAATCGGACACAATACCAAATTGTTTATAGGGAGTCGCGATTGTCTTGTCGGCAGTCAATTTGCACATTCTCAGGCCATAATAACGATTGAACGGAGGATAATACTTGTCTCTAGATTACTGAGCCCTCGCTTCTCGGACGGAATGAACTCGCCGAGGATCGCCATGTCGGGTCGCAATTTGCCACTTTCACGAGTCGTCTCGCGTACAATGCACCCCGACGATGGTTTTCACGATCATGCAGGTACGGTTATGGTGATCGCCTGGGGTCAGTTCATGGATCACGATTACACGTTGACTGCGACGCCATTGGGTAAGCGACAATTTCTTGCTTTTCGTATGCTTTTCCTATGATACGCTGCGTTTTGGCAAAATAATACACGACAATTTTTCTATGGAAATAAGATTTTTTTCTTCTACCATCTACGAATGTTAGTTTAAACATTATTCATAAGCCCGATAAAAGGTTAAATACTTTTTTTTTTTTTTTTTTGCTTTCCTGTTTTCTCGTATGTTAAAGTATGTAATTTACATGGAATTGTATCAACGAAGGTGATTTACAGTTATACCAATTAGTACAATACTACTCAAATAACTTAGTATATAAAAATTTATTATAAAAAGCAATATAAAAACGATTATAATTATTAATGCAATAAATTTATCATAACTTTAGTGAGTAGCATAACTGTAGTTGTATCATTTGTATGTTATGTAAGTATTCGGATAATGCCTTATGATTCATAATTAGCAGTTACGTTCTACATAAGGATTTTTATTTCAAATGACGAATACCAATGAGTTAAAAATATTAAAATTAACACGAATAATTTATTCAGAAAATCATTTTAACGATCCTTTTATAATTTATACAACGCAATGCGTCATGAATTTATAAATTTTAATTTTTTTTATTTTCCAAATCATTATTGTAGTTTTATTGCTATTGTTGATTAAATGTAATACATTAGTATAAGATTTTTTATCGCGGACTTTAGCTTATCACCGGTACGTATAATAAGGTGATTGTGAAAATTTTAAATCTGTATAGCTTATTCAAACAATACGATTAAATACTATTTTCTCTGAAAATTAACTAACATTATATAATTTGTTAATTCATTAATAAACTTGAGATCGATTTTCAAGTTACTGATGTTATTATACGGTCACGCTATTGAAAATTGATGTTTTTAGGAATATTTTTATGTAAAAATAGTATTTAAATATTATTATTACTAGATTAATAAATGTCGTATTGAGACGTTATCAACAACTATTTCATAGAGTTTTTATGAACCTACGTTATTTTTTTTTATATAATATAATCATAAATCCTCTCTGCCCGTTTTGACAAAATGAACGTACTTAAACTGATTTCCGTTCATCTGACTATGTTCGACAGTATTTTTTAGGAGTGGACTCTTAACGACTTAGATTAGTTGTGAAAGACGTGAGCCGGAGGAGAAAAATATGTCTTCTCTACATGAAATTAATAACACATTAAATAATGTCGTTAATCGGGGAATAACAATATTACTGTGCAACATTACTAAACACATTACTAAACAATCCAGCATGTCGGGGGAGCTTTGCAATCTTGTTTACAGCCAAGAAATGTCGTGCTCTCGAGATTCGCACGCCAGGGTGACACAAAGTACGGGAATAAAGATATGACGTCGTACACAACCTACAACGATCGTGAAATTTATTAAAGTAATGACGTATGCTCGTGGGCAATCAGCATATAATACATATCGCATCAAAATTACGACAGTCGCTTGCAATTTGTACATTGTACACATACAAGTGCAATGTCCTTTCAGGAGACAGCGTGACTTTCACTTTTTCTTATTCTTGCCACGAATTATTATTCTACATTTAATACGAGGCTCATAAACGTCAAAGGATGCAAGATAACATTTATTAAAATGGTCATTTTTCTAATTTGATCCCTTACTCTCGGAAACAAATCAAATACATTATAGAATACACGTTGGGGATTTAATATTGAATTAAATACGAATGCATTTATATTTAAGGGTATTTCTGCTGAAGTGAATGTCTTTGCGTTGATTGTAATTGTACCATAATAAGTTAATTGAGTTAATTATAATAATAAAATTAATTGATTAGACGCTGCATTATATCGACCGAGCATTACTAATGATGCAATACTTTTGCTCGCGGACATTTAAAAGTATTTAAAAGCATACGTGTCCGAACACGAAAACATCGGTAAAATTGTTCGATTGACGATTGCATGTGAAATTATCTACCGCATTAATTTTAATGTGTTTTGAAAGGAGCCGAATGATTTTAAAATGTATTTTGTCAATAATAATTGAAAAGTGATTTTATAAGATATCTCTCGGGAGTTCGTTTAAAAGTTGCCGAAAACATTAAGTCCGTTAATAACATTATTGCGATAATCTCGTACAAGTATGAACGTTCGCATTAAGATTCTAGAAACAATCATCGATCGTAATGATTTTGTAATGAGCCACGCATCTCGTTCGTTAATTAAAAAATTACGAAAATGACTAATACGAGAGCCGAGGAGAAAATATTGTTCAAGCTAACGGCAAAGTACACATACATTTAAGGGATTGAAAAGCAAGCGGTTGGTATTGCAGATTGGCAAATACCGACGGCGTAATAGTAAACACGAATTTCCAGATCCGATGAATCGCAACGACCCGGAGGAATGCTGTAACCGCGCCGCTCACAATAAGAATCCATACTGCAACGAGATCCATATACCAGAGGACGACTACTTCTACAGGCTATTCCACGTGCGGTGCATTGACTTCGTGCGCGCCTTCCCCGCAGCAAGACCCGGATGTCGACTCGGTAGCCGCGTGCCCTTCAATCTTCTCACCGGAGTGCTCGACGGCAACACCATTTACGGCATCAGCGACGAATTTGCCAAGTACGATATGCCCTCACGATATGCAGGCACGAGGCTTGATTTATTATTATTGTTGTTTTTAACTATTCCGAGGCTTTGCGCCTGACGAAACTTTTTCAACTTCGCTCTAGTTTGCATTGGGAAGAGCTGAAAGTGTCGCGACAACTTTGACTATTCGTATTTTATCGTTTACCTAGACTCGGATCGTTCCATATATATGTTTCTTTATTTTTGACGCCTAGGCCGATGTAATGTCATTATTCTCAGAAATTAAATTTTAATAACAGTTCGAGCAGCAATTTCAATTACAAAAATATCGCCAACTTATATATCTTAGCCAATAATAACACCAATGATTCTTAAAATTTTTATTTAATCTTACACTAAGAATATTTTACAACAACAACTCCAACTCCAACAATAATAATAACAATGATAAAAATAACAATAACAACAACACACAATGAGAATGATAATTACAATGATAATAATAACAACAATAATAATAATAACAATAATAATATAAATAATAATAATAATAATAATATAAATAATAATAATAATAATAATAGGCAGGCTTTATGAAAGTAGAAATTAAAATTTTTATTTAGCGTATCGATTAATTTATAGATCCGTAAGGCCAGGTTAAAACCTTTACGAGTAAGCGAGTCTACGTTTGAAAGTACATATGGTTGCCATATTGTTTAACTACATTGCTCTATGCTCGATTGAGAAAGGGAAAAGCTTTTTTTTTTTTCATTCTATCCTACATCTTTCAAGCGATACATAATCATTGGCTCGAGCCAAAAGCGCTTTAATCGTCTCCGTACCGGTAGCAACCCACTTAGACCTCGGAAATATTGAAACACACGCACAGTCGCTTACTCGCTTCCCAACTATCTAAAGAATCGTGTGATATCCCCCCC